ATCGCTGATGTTTCTGTGCTAGGTGAACGACCACATCCAGCAGCTATGGAAAAAAAAAAAAAGAGGATCTTAAAATGTGGATCTTGTTGTTCATTCTTTTCTTTCTAGATTACTGATGAATCAGATGAACTCTATATGAACTCTATAGATCTATAGACTTGTCTCACCCAAGGCATTTATGTAGAACTAAAGAGTCAAAATTCGTTAAAATGATAGCTGTTTAGAAAAATCTAGGCTGAAAATGGAGAAAGTTCCTCACCACACCCATATTCTGAGTGGCTTTTCTTCTTTTTACACTACTATCATGACTTATTAGTTTCCCTGAGAAGAAGTGGAAAGATCACACTGAAACTGTAATGCTCATACATTTGCCTAGAAGTGAAGCATAGCAGGAAGAAGAGGATATAACAGGAAGGCAGTGATAGAAATTTATTGCAAGAATGGCATAAAGCTTAGATACTTCAGGAGTTCTTTCTGACATACACACAGTGAACTTGTCCCATGTCAGAAAGAAATTCTGAATTAATCTAGGCTTTGTGTATTCTTGCAGCAATTCAGCTTCCTGCTGTTACCTTCCTGTTCTATTAGAGATTGCGTCTGTGCAATATGCATATCTTAATCATGATGATCCAATTAACTCAATCTTCTGGGATCAACAACAAACTAAACCATAAACTAACCATATTGAATAGGGTTGCAAAACATGCTAGGGTAAAAGTGATTTGTTATTTTGTAGTTCAGTATGTTGTGCAATCACAGCTAATGTGCATCCCCAAACCTCCCAAGATGTAACAAAACACTCTAGACCACATGACCATAGCACAGTTTTAAGAAGAATTATTCCTTGAATTGTGTTGCTTAATTATGTTGCTGTTTAGCCTGTCTGCATAATTAAATTGGTATTAAAGCAATAACCCTGCATGGAGAAACCTAAGATGACCCCACCTAAACCACAAAAGGAATAGTACGAATATGAATATTATTAGAAAAGAATTCCAATTGCCATATGCTTGAATAATAAATACCTCATATGCTTGTACAAAAACTATCCATATTCAAATACATAGGAGATACTTTTGTTTTAGGTATCTTTAAATACATTAGTCTGTTTCTCTTTCTAATAGTTTGCTATTGTATCTAATCTAAAGTTTGGATACTATTATGATGATCTATACTTAGTTACAGGGGGATTTCCTATCTGGTTTCACTCCCACGCATAACTGCTTCTTAGCAAACAAGAAACAAACCATTTTTAGTCATAAGAAAAATGGCATATGATTGAAACTGTTAAAAAGAAATCCAATGTCACTTATTTACTTTTTTTGGTAATGGCACTGAGGCAAGACTGAAATTTGTGACAGGCATAGAACTTTGGAAGTTCAGTACATTTGAGAAGAGTGGTGGATGAAGATGAAGACTGTGGAAAATTTGGACCATCTCCTGGTGCTGTTAGAATTCTTGGGACTGATGTTGGTTCCATGATCTTTACCTGTGGTGATGGTGGAGGCTGGCGTGATATATAACCATTTCTTGCAGTTACAAGAATCTGGGTAAAACAGCTTGTACTATACTATAGTGATGTACTATAGCCAATGCACTGGAGAACAAGGTGGTTTCCTCCCCTATTTGGTCACAGTCTCTCGAAGCCCTTATCAGTAAGACAGAATTCCCAAAATAGCTTTTCAAGCAATGACTTTAAACATTGTGTGGTACACATGATAAATGAAAATGGAAGGAATAGCCTTATTACAATCTAAGATTTCTATTTTGGAAGGAGATACTCCCACTGTAAATAATGATATACATGGTTCAAGATATTAGTATAGATGAGAGATGGCTTAATTACATCGCAGGATAGATTGGGGACTAGACATACATGATTTAAATACCAGGTGTGCAGATGTGCATCTGGGCATAAAAGCTAGGTGTACGTAAGATTATGTCTCTGACAGCAATGACAATATAACCTCGATACCTCTGCAATTAATTAGAATTTAGCAGCTGACTATATGGAATCAAAACTGCACAGAATTACTGTATAAATCAGGAACACTACTCAGAAGTCTCAAATTCCAGTCATGGACAGTAAATTGCAAAATAACACAGTATACAGAGTAGGTCATACTTTTTAAAAGGTCAGGTTTTTTGTACATGTCTTCCTTCTCAGATCATATAAAGATTTCTCAGATGGGAATTCCCTCAATGATGTTGTAAGAAGGCACAAAGAAATTATGACTCAGGCAAACAGCTAATCACCTGCTACAGCTTTGTCACGGTTAAGGAAGTCACCTTCAGGTGAATTCACCATTCATGGTATGAGAAGTACTTACAACATTTCATCCAACTAAGGGATAGAGGTGGAACATTTGAAACACTTCATAGGTTCATTTTGTGCTTGTATAAAGTATCAACTCAGTCCATTGCTAAATAAGTGAGTAATTGTAAAAATGGGTTCAAGAGGAAAATATGAGCACTAGGACCTGGAATACAACTATTTCCATCTCCTCAGAGTAACTAGAATAAGTTCTTGGTGTCCAATATATTTCCACAAAAGCAATGCTCCTACATAATCTTAAGAGGTAAGTACAGTATGTTAAGCTGAAACAGCAAACCCAAAAGATACCTCTCTTTAAGACTCTAAGCCACAAAAATATTATGCCATAATGAATAATTTCTGTATTTGTATGCGCTGTTCTTCTAAAGAAAAAACAACAATAGATTTCTGTGCTGCTTCCCATAAAGTTATCCCTAAAGACATTTTCAGGTATGTAATTAGGCATTGGATTTCTTTTCTTCAACTTCTAAAAACCATTATATATAATTTATTGTATTTCCAATTTTACTGTCATAAGATACAATTTTCTTTGATTCCCATTTAAGCAAGAATAATTTGTTTAAAAAATTACCAAAATTGTTCTGCCTTAATATGAAATGGATGTCACAACACATGAAGTATTCTAAAGACAGTGACTTCATAGAAGCTTTGTAACAAGGAAAATATCTCTTGCATCACAACTGACTCAAAACTGCTTTTTCCAGAAATAAACAAATACCATTCCATTCTGGCCAGGTGTCAACAGCACAGTACTGCTTCTCACAGACCAGAAACAGGGACAAAGATATAGTAGTAGATCATTATGAGGAAAAAACAATCACTTTGACAACTCCTGCTTCCCTAGAACCAGTGAGTATTTTGGAAAACCTTTCTATTTTCACTTTCCATCCATCCATCCATCCATCCATCCATCCATCCATCCATCCATCCATCCAT